CTTGGTAAGAAATTTAGAACACTAATTTATGAGGATAAATTCCATTTGTCAGAGTAAAAACGGATTGCAGGCAGCCCCAGGGCTGAGGAACAGCTTTGATTTTTGCTAAAATCTCTTGAGTCCACCACTTTTTGATCCAGCTTGTGCTGCTCTGAGATCTGGTGTCTCTCTGTCTCTGTCTTTTTTTTTTTTTTTTTTTTTTTTTGGTGGAACGGGATTGAACTCAGGCCCTTGCACTTGCCAGGGAAGCGCTTATTCCATTGAGCCATCTCCCCGGCCCCTCTTTCTTGATGTTGAAGATCTCATCCTGCTGGTGTCTGGGTTTCTGCAGCCTCTTGAAGTAAGCATCAGGGAGGTGTTTGGAGATTTTCACTTTGCTGATACCAATTTTTGTGGAGGTGGCAATGACAAATTTCTGGTGTGTTCTTCATAGAGAAACACGATTAAGGCTAAGAGAACCAGTCACAAGTAGCAAGCCACTGGCCAACTGCTTCAGGAAGATCGCTCTCTTGCCTCTGTGACGCCTGGTGAGGATGATCAAGTTGGTGCCGGGAGTGATGCTAAGTCAAAGTTTCCTCACATGCTGACTGAAGGGTTTCTTGCCGTGACTCAAAGAGCTTTCAGAGTACATCTTCAGTAGGGTAGTATCTAAACATTTTTCAAAGCTTAACCAGCTGGGTACTTCCATTCTTGTCCCCACCAACCAGTTTTGTGATGATAGCAAGAACTTTTTCCTTCTTTTTCTTCTCAGTCTTTGATTTAGCAGCTGTGTGCTATCTCTTGTACAAAGCCTTTCTGGAATACATAGCAGAGCAGGAGTGTCTACCAATTCCTCTAACCAGGACAGGATTTTGGCTGCAGCTGGGCTGTCCCTTCTTGGACTTTTTTGCCTTCATTTTACCCTTTTTACCAATACTACTAGCATCAGCCTTCTTGGCTTCGTTTTTTTGTTGGTTTGGTTTGGTTTGGGTTTTTTGCAGAAACGGGGATTGAACTCAGGCCCTTGTGCTTGCCAAGGAAGCACCTATTCCACTGAGCCATCTCCCCAGACCCGGGTTTCTTCTCTTTAGTGTTCGGCTTCTGTTTTTTTACCCACCATCTTCTAAGATGGGAAAGAGCAATTACATGATTCTTTGCAAACCACCAGAGGACATGTGAGAAGGGCAAGCCAGGAATTGTTACAATCAGGCAGCTCTGGTTTTTACAAGAACAACATGGAAAGGATGCAGATAGGTAGGGGCCGCAGTAAGGAGGTAAATGTTGAACTTTCTCAGCAGAATCTGAACTTAATCACCCTCCCATATTTCCCTTCTTGTGTAGTGAAAGGAAAAATTGTGATTCCTACTCAAGTGCTGACCCTCACATGATGGTGGCAACAGCCACATCCTGCCTCCTGTTCCCCAGATCTAAATTGGGACTTACCTGGTGTGACAGCAATATGCAAACCAACAAGTAGAACTCCTCAAATCCAATTTCACCCACAGCATTGCAGTCCAGCATGTCAAACACCATCCTGATCTCTCTGGGCTTCAAGTTAGTCACGTAACGGAGGAAGTGATAGAACAGCACATCTGTGAAAGGGGAAGTCAGGAGTTGGATTATTCAGGAATAATTCAAAATGTTGAACAACTGGACACTGCATAAACAGTAGTACTGTTGGAAGCTTGTTGACTTGGGACCAATAGTGCTGTTTGTTTCTGGCTTCCACATTGAACCTTCCATAGCTCCTTAAGACCCTAACTGCTTTTCCTTAAGCTGTGTGGGAAAGCACTGTCCCTGGAGCTGTGCAGGATATGGTGAGGATATGGTGTCTGACCCTAGCTACTTGCCTCGAGGAGCAGACAGGCACGAGAACTAGGGCTGCTTCTGTGTGGGATGAGGGATCTAACATCCCTGGAGCCCTAGGACACTTTCTTGGAGATGCTAGCTTTCTACCAGGGCATTTCCCTTGAGATAATTCAAAACAAGGGGAATTTAATCATCATTCCTTTTCTATAACAGTATCTACATTCCTCATACTTATATAAAGCAAATGTGATGCAGCGGCTGGGCTTGGGGGTATGCTGAGACAGCGATTGGGACTGGGCATGGTGGCACTCGCCTATAATCCCAGCTCTTTGGGAGGCTGAACACAGGCAAATCACTACGAGTCCAATCTATGTAGTGAGACCCTGAGACCCAGTAGACCCTTACTAAATAAATAAATAGGCCAGACACAGAGGAAAGGAGCAACGAGTAGCCACCTAGAGACAACGGAGTCAGCAACGATGCAGCTGGCAGAGCCGCTGCCTCTGCGCCCCTGTGGTCGTGCCCCCGTGGTGGCCGTCGAGAGTACTCATGACCATAATACCTCCACTGAGAATGCAGACGAATCCAACCATGACCCTCATTTTGAACCAATAGTTTCTCTTCCTGAGCAAGAAATTAAAACACTAGAGGAAGATGAGGAGGAACTTTTTAAAATGTGAGCAAAGTTGTTCCAATTTGCTTCAGAGAATGATAGTCCAGAATGGAAGGAACGAGGCACCAGCAACGTCAAGCTCCTGAAGCAGAAGGATTAGGGGACCATCCGTCTCCTCATGAGAAGGTACAAGACCCTGAAAATCTGTGCCAACCATTATATCACGTCTATGATGGAGCTAAAGCCAAATGCTGGCAGTGACCGAACCTGGGTCTGGAATACCCACGCTGACCTCGCCCAGCAAGTATTCCCAGCCGGAGCTGCTTGCCATCCGCTTCCTAAGTGCTGAGAATGCACACAAATTTAGAACAAAGTTTGAAGAATACAGGAAAGAAACTGAAGAGAGAGAAAAGGAAGGACTGGGAAAAATTGATAATGCGGAAAAAGTAGCTGAAAAGCTAGAAGCTCTCTCTGTGAAGAACAAGGACCCTGTGGAGGAAGCTGAAGAGAAGTGGAGAAGCAATGAGTCCTCTTAACTTCTCTCCTGTTCCTTTCTTCTTTTCTTTTTAAAATTTTGCACTCCCCTTTTTTTTGGTTTTAATTCTGTTTTGTTTCTACAGGGACTTTATTCAAAGAACTGAATTCCAACATAAATAAATAAATAAAGTAAATATTTGTGAGTAAGGAGACCAGAGCAAACCACCTCCTGTGTTAAGCCCTTTAAATGCTGCATCTCATGAACTCTGAGAACCTTACTCGAAAGGTGTCATCATACCCCTCAATAGAGTCATGAACCTGGTATTTAGGCAAATGCCTGTAAAGCCCGCACTTGGGAGGCTGAGGCAGGAGGATTGTTGTGAGTTCAAGGTCAGCCTGAGCTACATAAGCCCTGCATCAAAAAACCTCACTAGCCACTTGAGTGGCTTTTCAAACTATAACTTCTGATTCAGGAAAGCTTCCATAAAGTTGAGAGTCTGTGCTTCCTTTTATA